ATGGCATCAATATCATTGATGGTTTTAGTTATGGAGAAAGAGCGTTCAAGAATTAGTTGCGGGTGAAGGGGATATGGTGTTTATGGTTTGAGATTTTAAGGGTTAGTAATATATTAAATTGACAGAAAAATAAAGAGAATCAAATTGGATGGAATTTTTGCTTCCAAATAATTATGTTTTAATTCCCTTGTTCTTTTATGTTAATGAGCTGCTTTTATTTCCCTCTTTCTTTTATAGATGTTTTTAAAGTAAATTTTGTCATTTTTTTATATTAATTGAGAGTTTAGATTGATTTAAAATGGTGTAATAAAAAAAATAAATTACATGATTAGTGCTCGATTTTGCATTGCACGATGTCTTTAAATTCATAAATTACATGATTTGTTCACCTCCCTGCTGGCCAACTGTTGAATAGCTCTTCTTCTCCCTGCTGGATGCAGCAGCATGAACAGTCACTGTTCACGTCAGTGTTCAGCCACTGCCCTCAACTCTTCAAGACAACAGCTGCTCTCCTCTTACCAGCTGTTACTTCTCAGCTATTACAGTGCAGCTGGACCATTTTGCTCAGCTGGAATGCCGCGACTGGATGTCACTGTACACGTGACTGTTCAGCACAGCAGTTGGGCATTTGTTATCAGCTAACATGTCTGAGTTTTTCAGCTGGAATTTCAAGCTGGCTGCTTTGGATAGAATTTTTTAGGAAATTATGCTTTCTAGAATATTTTTAGTATTTCCATGTAACATCATGCATTAGAATTTTTTCATTCCTTTTGCCATTAGTGTTTTTTGTTGCGTCTATCATGGGGGTTTTGGTTGCTCCTATGGTATGTTTGTAGATTGGTAAAAGTCAGTTGGTTTGATGTATACATCAAGTATGTAGAATCTAAAAATTGTTTCTCATTACCTCTTCTCTTCAAGGGCAAGTGGTTTGAGAAAAGCAAGTATTTACAGCAATTGAAATAATTATTCTTCAAACTGTTTTCAATATGATTACAAGTTGTTTGTTGCATTGCTTCAATGAAAAGAACTCAAATGATAATGTTTATGGAAGTAGGTCATTTTTAAGAAAGAATTATTTAGGTCATGGAAATTGCTTTGGAGCTCTTGCTACTGCTATGTAATATTTGTCTAGCCTCATGGTTGAGGAATTTTGGTGCATCAATATGGGTGATTTGGGACGGATAAGGGCATACACATTATATTCATGTTTATTTAGTTTTGTGAAAATGTTATGCTTTGTTGGTCATCACATCTCTCAGATTAATTTTTTTGTCTATTTCTTTCATGTAGATTGTTCCAATGAAATGCATGCCAAGTGACAAAACTTCAATCAAGGTAGTGATGACAAGGGCTAATGTTGTTATCATTCTTACTATTGCGTTATTTCACTCACCACTGAAGACTATGCAAATATTGTAAGATTTTAATCTGCTAGAAACTCTATATTTAATCAATGTATTAAACAATTTACTGTTACTTACCTAAAAAAAAGGGAATTTACTGTTGAGATTAGTTATGCAATAGGTATCATTTACCAATGATACGAACATATAAAGTATTGAACATTTTGTTTTGGGGAGTGCCATGAATGATTTTTTATATTCTATAGTGCCTTCGGGCACGGGTTTATTGTTATAAGTTGATATTTACTTGGGGTCATGTTTTAGAGGAAACTTTGTCCAATTTTTTTTGAAGGAACAAAGAAAAATTAATTTTATTTATTATTGGTGATTTTTTGTTTAGCATGACATAATGCCTTCAGCACAAATATTTCTTTTAATTACACAGGTTTGTAAACTCTATTAAGTTGATTTTTGAGCATGTATGCAAAATGCGGGTGTGTTACAAATATAGTTTAGACTTTAAAATTAATGCGTATTCATTTCCGGTGTTTAATTTTTTCATGTCCACAATCAATGTTAATTTTTTTGAATTATGCAGTGCCTTCGGGTACGGGTTATTGCTAGTTTTTGTTAAACTCTCTTGATTTGATTTGCAGTTTTGGGATAATGAAGGTCAAGAAGTTTGACTCTCTAGGGCTTTAGATTGACTTTCCTTTTGCTTTGTCCCACTAGTCCTCCCTTGGATCCCATTTTTGGACTTCTCTAGGGCTTTAGCTTGGCTTTCCTTTTGCTTTGTCCCACGGGTCCTCCCTTGAATCTCATTTTTGGGTGTCACTATAAGCAAAGGATGTGCTCCTACCTATAATAAAAAACTTTGCTCGATTCCTAAAGAATGGGATCATAAAGGCATGACCTAGGCGATCCTATAAGTCAAAAGTGGATTCTCTAGCCCTGGACTTCATCCCTTATGTAAACCAGACTAAATAATTCATTTTGATGTTATGCTTCATGCCCACTACAACTACTCGCAGCAAATCCTAAATCCTTGATGCTTTCCGCGCAGAGGAAGCCCTTGTAGCTAACCGGTTTGCTCTTAATAAAGAAAAAAAGCATTTTTGTGTTGTTTAGTATAGACTAGACCTAACTGAACGTCTTACTGAAATATTAGATTGTCTTTGTTCTTTTCGGTCAACAACTATCTTCTACAGTTCAGGGGATAATCAGCGTACTCCAATAAGTAGGGGAAAAAATTTGGCTCTATCAAACATATAAGGAATTGGAGGTAGCATTCTACCGATGTCAAGTCATGGACCGGTTCCTTGAACCGTTTTTTTATGTGTTGGTGTTCTATATGACCAACATAAGACTCGATTTGTTAAATATTACGCAGGATCAGTGAGCACCATGCTGAATCTCCCTACCATTTTCTTCTCTTCCACTTTAGCCAATATGAGTCAAACTGGTACTATCTGTTTTATTGGGGAATTTCTCATCTTAATTGGAGCTTTCCAAATAAATAGCTTAGTAACTACATTAGCAGCGCTTGGGATGATTTTAGGCATGGCGTATTCCCCCATCTATTCCAAGCTTGGATTATATAATATATATAGTCTAGCTTGAGGGTAGAGTTGAGAGTATTACAATATTACTATAATATTCTTAGGGTTCAATATGGTTGTAATATGTATACCACACAAATGGTATACTTGTCTTTTTCATATTTATTGGGTAACTATAAATACAAGTTGATAGTGAGAGGTAGGGTAAGTTAAACCTCTCTTTGCCTCTCTCATATTATCTCTCCCCCACCTAGATTAGAGTTCATATCGTAATATGGAAATTCAATCTTCCTCTCTCCATTCCACCTCACATCTATCTTTTCTCTCATTTTTATCTTTCCATCTCCTTTACTAAGTAGGAAGGGATATTTATTATCAGGGACAAAGTACGTCGAAAAGGCCATTCCTACACCTATAAATAACTTAAAGAAGCTTGCTGCCTTTTGATAACTCGGAGCATAGTTAGGTCTTCAAACTGTAAAAACTAAGGCTCTGATGACCTTTCAAGGAAAAGATGTTGGCCCTCTCTCTCCCCACCTAGATTAGAGTTCATATTATAATATGAAAATTCAATTTTTCTCTTTTTTCTCTCATCTTTTCTTTTTTCCTACTGATTTCATCTATTTCTTTTAGTTTCATTCCAAATTCACCAGTATTGGCAATTTCATCATTTGTATCTGCTCTAAAGGGCTCATCATCCTAACATCATTGGTGATCATGTTGAAAAAATCAATTCACAAGGAAGTAGGGCACATTTTGTAACACCTTTTCCTTCATATATTAACACAGATTGCATCATATCACTTTCCCACCATACCCCATGTTTCAAGCTAATGATTCTTTTATCCTAAGAAAATAATGTTTACATTTCTTCAATAAATAATTGTTAGGGAGAATTACACTCAGACCCCTTAACATTTGAAATATTACACACAGACCGCCTGAAATTTGTACGCGCGTAGCACTTAGACCCCTATCATCAATGTCCGTTAGTATATCCGGTAGAAAATTACATCCAGACACCTGAAGTTTGTAGATGTGCAATACTTAGACCCCTCAAATTTGAAATATTATACTTACACCAAAAATACTCCAATTAAAGATAGAACATCAAATATTTTAAATTTTACGGCCAAAATTTATCTTCTATTATGACATTTATTGAAATAAAATTAAAAATAAAAATTTATTTTTTCTTAAAAAATCATACTATATAATTATACTATCTATTGAAATTTAATTTGGTCATTTAAACTACCAGATTATCCCAATTAAAGTTAGAATATATTGTTTTCATTCTAGTTTGATCCCTTGTTTGATTTTTTAATTTTATTCCAATAGATAGAATAATTGTACACTAAATACGATTTTTTAAGAAAAAATTAAATTTTTATTTTTAATTTTATTTCAATAAATGACATAACAAAACATAAATTTTAATTGTAAAATTCATGTTCTATTATGAATGACTTAGACCCCTTATTTAATTTTTTAATTTTATTTCAATAAATAGTATAATTGTATACTAATTACGATTTTTTAAAAAAAAAAAATTTAATTTTTATTTTTAATTTTATTTCAATAAATGATTCAATAGAACATGAATTTCGGTGTAAAATTTAGTATATTTGATATTCTATCTTTAATTGAATTATTTTTTGTCTAAGTATAACGATTTAAACTTGAGGATCTAAGTATTATACGCCTACAAACTTCAGAGGGTCTAGATGTAATTTACTAACGGATATATTAACGAACATTTGACGGCAGGGGTCTAAGTGTTAGAAGTGTACAAACTTCAGAGGGTCTATGTGTAATATTTTAAATGTCAGAGGTCTGAGTGATTAAGTGACAAACCTCAGAGAGTCTAAGTATAATTCTCCCTAATTGTTATTATCATTATCTGTAAGGGAAACTACAATGTATGCAAATTGGATCACCAGAGACTTTAATCGAAAACATCCATTGGGCATTTTCAATGCCCTTTATTTCTTATATTCTCTATAGTGAAGAGATCAATATTAGGTGTTAAAGATTAAAAAAAAAACTAATGGTTTAGCTTTTTAGAAAACTTATTTACACATACAAAAATATATATCTAGTGAACAAGAATCCAGGGTGAACTCACAATAATTGCTCGGCCAAATGCACCAGCACTCACATAAGCCCATGTTCCTGGAAGCATCCCTAACCAACTGCAAACCAATGGGTTGAAATAGTATGAGAAGAGGAAGACATTTCCCCCAACAGATATGTGAAATTAAAAATAGAGTGCATTGCGTATGCAAGTTTGTTTGGGGTTTAGGTTCCTACACATGACACCATACTACATATGTGCAGATCCTCAAATATTCATTAAATGTATGATCCAGTGTCATTTTCCAAGTTTTCAAATTATGGAAAACTTGGAAAGGTGCTCGAAAAAAATTTGGAAATTAGTTGTTGATTTCTTTTCTACTCAAACAAACTCATCCCATCTTGGTCGGAGAAGAAAAACCAGTTTTCCCACATTCCAAAATAAGGCAATGCAACTTTATGATTTAGACTCGATCCAAACTAACATATGAAATTATAGACAGCAAAATTTGAAACCTCGACATTTTCTTTTTCATATCTGCTGAATAGGACATTGAATTACTGCAAGGCCTAGACACCAGGTGAGACAGCACAGAATTGACTAATGTAATTTGATGACAAATTAAGGTGCTAGTACAATAACAGTCAACGAAGAAATAAATTTTCACTCCAAATATACATTTTGATCATGAACCACCATCCATATTTGCTTTGGCTTATTCACTCTACATCTACATTTTCATTATCAACCCAATTTAAGATGCCTTCATCAACTAATAGTTCTAGATAGTTTACAAAGCACCATCTCCAAGAACTTCTGGAATTTTTTTCAAATCAATTTTCTGGATCCGAAACTGAATTGTCAACATTTCACAGATGCATGAATGGGAACCTAATGTCTTCAAGGCAAATAATGACCAGACCTCACCAAGCAGATTTTTTTCTTGCCTTTTCTGTGCATGTAAGGATTATCTTTACATTTCATACTTAGTAAAAACAATAAATTAATTGCCACATTCTCCAATAAATGCATCCTAACCTAGTATAGATGCCATTAAAAATTAAAATAAAGGAGATCAAACTCTCCAAAAATAATCAAAAAGGGAAAAAACATGGAAGATTATCTGGAGGGAAAAAAGAACCATACAAACCACCATAACAAGAAAGCATCAATCATTCATAGGCTTGAACCAGACCTTCCCAAAACGTACGGCACGAACTTAACGGAGGTAAGCCCATACAAATAATTCCCTAGAGAAAATGGAAGCAAGGGGCTCAAACGGAGAAGCATAACAACTTTGAAACCATTTTCACCAATGGCCTTGTCAATTGCAAGAAATTTCTTGTTTCCTTCGACCAATTTAAGAATACGTTCACGAGCAAAATATCTGGCAATTAAAAAGGCAACACTTGCTGCCACCTGACAGGGTACAACATTTGCAACTTTAGGTACCCATGGCCATATATTTTTTTTTATTCTTCTATGTAACAAGAAAACCATTTTACCGTTCCGCTGATAGAGACAATGATGGTTCCAGTGACAGAGCCAAACAACAGACCAGCTGACATGGTCAATGGAATGGCCGGTATTGCAAGGACCTAGAGAAACATAGTTCTTCAAAATAAGTTTATGATGTGCAAAAATGTGTAACAAGAACCACAATGAGATTTCATTAATGTTGAATGCACTAAAAGACATATATAAGAAAACTAAAATTGGAGTTTAGAGCAAATAGGCCATGGAATCCTGGAAAAATCGCTCAGAAAAATATAAAGCTCTGGAGTACCATTTATGGCATTAAAGAATTATAGAGTACTTTAAAACGTTGAGTTAACGACGTGACATATAAAAGCATGTGTCATTTGTGAGTGTTGACATCCATCATGTGTAATTTATTATTAGGGAGATTAAGGCAGCCTGCTTACTTCCAATCCAGCATAAACTGCTACAAAGAGAGCATATCCAGCTGGACCATAACCTGTTCACCAAAAACTTTTGAGATTCTTGGGAAAGAAAATTGTGCAATTTTAATAAAGATAGGAAAGTCGAAGCACATTAATACATTTACAAATTCAACTATAATTTAAACCCGTGGAAGAGAATTAAAATGTTTGGCCATAACCAAACATTTTGTTTCATTGCAAGCTCCAAGAGGATCAAAGTTATCCACCAAATGGTAATCAAGAATCTCAGTTGACCAAAAAATTAAATTCCGCATCTACTCTATGACTGCAAGTTCAAAACTTGGAGGGCAATATCAAGCATAGGAATAATAAGCAACAAAATCAAGGAAACACCAAGACCATTGGACACCCAAGTGATTTTCCCTTTTTTTATGAGGCAAACTTGGTGGATAGCCATTATCAAAAGGGAGAAAAAGAACAAAAAAATGTCTGATCATAAATTGTACTCTTATAGTGAAAGCCTATCTAAAATTCCTATATTGTGCATGCAAATGTTGACTGTATTTGTGTAAGAGATGAGACTAGTATATGATTTTTTTCGAGAAGAAACGAAGTAATTTCCTTGATATTGAGGTATTAAGGCATTACACAAAAGAAGAGAGTTGGAGATGGAGAACTCATTCAACCCAAAATCAACTGGAAAAAAGCAGTGACAATATAGAACACTAGTATTTGATATTGATCTTATTAGTTCAACACATAGGAGATGGAATAACATGAAAGATTGTAAAAGTTGAGGGTAAAGAATAAGAAACCAACTAAAAGATGAAAAAAATCCTAACTATTTTGCATCAATGCATCCAACATTTCCACTGTGCACATCCAGCAGCATTAATTCAAGTACAATTTATCATGCATACAGCTTTCCCTAATCATGCTACTTTTTGTTTTTCGTCATCAACTGTTCCCAAATAACTGATATTTTTTAACAAAAGCAAACAATCTGAGGCTCTAAGCAGTCTTCTCAACATGCCAAAGAACTGGTACAACAATTTACAATTTAGCTTCTAGAAAATGCCTCTCCACCAAAGGCCTCTTGCTTCTGCCACATAAAAAGGTGGGTTTAGAAGCAATAATCTGATTACATTTTTTTTAAATCCTATTAATAAAAATTAAAAACAGATACATTACGACATAATTTTAAAACCCAGGCAGATCATGTTTGCAAAATACAAATTCAACAAGGTTGCATTTGTCAAACACGACTTCAACTCAAAGTTGTGTTTGCTAAACTCGATTTCATCTTGAACATTCAAAAAAAATTAAGAGAAGAATGGACAGACATCGAGTGAAGGCATGTTTAGACACGACCCAGGTCTCGAAATTAAGTTTAAATATACCCTTTTTTGATAATTAACGTTTCAATTGACATTTGCCAACAAAAAACCCTGTTCACACCCACTCCCACCCCCAAGAAGGGCCACAGAAAGGGCAAAAAACAAAAGAAAATATTGCAGCAATTTCTAAAGAACTATGTCGCTGACCTTGTTGAACAGTACCTAGATTAGTAACCAAAATACCTATGTCCTCAAGCTAGGCTAACACAAGGCAACCAGCACCTCCATCAAAACAATAGCCATTGGAGCACAAAAGAGATGCATCCCGTAGAATTCAAGTGGGAGACAAGTAGAATCACTAGAAATCAGTATAGGCCACTAAAAGTCATTTTTCCTTAAAGCACTTTAGAAATTAGATGTCTTTAATAATGCACCAGAAGAGGTACTTACAACTTTCGACATGTCATTGCATTTTCTAAAGGATAAAACAAATTCGAAGACTCCCTTAAAGTGAGAAAACAGAACAAGGTAATCAAAAGAAAAGATAGAGAAAAAATTAATAGTAATAGGCATCTCAATATATATCAATGTATGAAAAGTGAAAACCAAAGCATGAGTTGTCAATAATCATTTTCAATGCAGAAAAAAATATCAAAAGAAACATGGGTGCATTGAACACTAACAAGAACTCGTGATACTCCAAGAGCTCAACTGGCAAAGCCCAAGCCAAAAGTAACCACATTAAATCAGGAAGAACACATTCGGGGTTCATGATTCAATACCCCCAATGTCTCTCAGAAGATCCCCATGCACCTTGAATTACTCTAAAATCTTACAAAAATGAAATTATCAGAATTGCAGTAAACTTCAGCTTGGGCACTGAATTAAGCTAAACTTAACTCCAATAAAATCCAAAGCAATCTTTGAAATCCCCACAAATATCTCACAATATCTCAAGTGACTTATATTCAAAAAATAATACACCCCTTTTTATTTAACATTTGACAAAAAAATCATGAGTTCTTTCAGTAGTGCCTTCTCTAAGACAAACCTCTAATATGAGTAATAGAAGCTGAATCAAATTCCTAGAACTCTTCAAATGGGTATTGATCGTTGTAACTTAAATTCTAGTACAAATTCACAAATCCAAACCAATATCCAAGAAAATCTATATGTTTTAAAAATTCTGCCTACAACGAAACCAAAATTCCAATTCCAATACTTTAAAATGTACGCCAAATTATGAGGAATCTTCATGTGGGTATTAAATTCGTCATAAATTACCTTCAAGAACCCCCGAAAATTGCGTCAAGAAAGCATTGATCTGCTCCTTGTAAATGTACCCGACAGCGCCGAATCCACCAACAACACTCACAAGCAAAAGACCAGCCAAAAGGGTACCTTTAACGGCAGTGTCACCTTCCAAGCCACCATCACCACTCTCACCACCTTCCTGATCGGCTTTCGGGTTCAATTTCAAGAGCCTTCTAAAGCTCTGAGGCGCATTGTCAGGACTCTTTGAAAGGGTCTGTTGTTTCTTGGTTTCTTTGAGTGAGGAACATGGTTTCAAGAAGTGAAACCTCTTGGGTTTGAAATGGAAGAGGAATGAAGAAGTTGTAGAGGTGTAGAGGGAGGAATGGAAGTTTGCTCTGAGCGGAGGATGAAGAGGTAGAGGATGAAGATGATGAAGAGGTATAGGATTAAGATGATGAAGAGAAGAGGAGTAGGAGCTTGGTGGTCTCCCCGAAGGGGTGTGCATTTTAAGCGAGGAATGTCTTAAGAGATAAGGAGCTGTTGTTCCGGTTTATGTGATTTGGGCAACTGCTGTGCCATGTAGATCGTAGAAAGTACCACTGATTATGATCTGGAGTTGTTTTGATGATAGTATTGAGGACAAGTGTTTTTTTTTGTGTATGTAGTTGCAGCACGTGTACTCACTCAAGAAAATGAAACAAGTAGGGAAAATATCAAAACGACCTTTAGAAAAAGTTTAAATCCTCAAAATTTGTCGATATATCTTTAAAAAAAAAAAGCAGTGCTATGAGCCCAACTATTGGTTGAATTTGTTATCAATTTAATAGTTATGATGCATTAAATTAATAAATAATATTAATAAATTAAGTTCAAATATTTTATATATATTGTATATTCATTGTATATAAAATGTTTAAACCCTAACCTATCAATTACTACACCAAATAAATAGGTATTAGTAAATGACTCTATAACCCCACACTTTGATTATCCAAAGTTAATTTTGTACATGATGACGATTATAATTGGATGAACTCACTAGGTGTATGTTATTTTGCAGATGATATTGTCTTAGTAGATGTAACTCGAAGGGGATTTATAATAAGCTAAAATTTTGGAGAGATACACTTGAGTCAAATAGGTTTAAAATAAGTAGCAATAAAAATGAATACATGCAATACAATTTTCGTAATAGAAGAATTAGACGTAGTGAAAAAGTAAAGATTGAAAATCAAGAAATAACCACAAGTAAACGATTTAAATATCTAGGATTGATCATTAAAAATGATGAAGAGCTTAAGCAATGAAAATGGATTCACCTCTCACACGAGTTGATGAGTATGATTCTTGTATCATGTTTTCTCCTTCCTACAAAACGAACAAACTGCCTAGGACCGAAGTGTTTCGGTCGAAGGCACTCCGATACTTAAGTCAGTACTTGTGTGAAAGGACTGTGTATGTGTATGTAGGGAGAATTGTGCATACTTTTTACTATGCATACTCAACTCCATATATAGTGTCTTTCTCCCTGTTGAGATGTTTGTTAAGGATTCATTGAAATCTCTCCAGACACTCATTCTGTTGTCTAGCTCTTCCCGAGCCAATGATTGTGCTTGTTCGTTATACCTAAATCCCTAATTGGAGGTATTCCCTTAGCTTGAGGTTGTTTCCGAACTGAGCTCAATCACACTAAAATCGAGCTCCTACTTCTTTTACTGAACTCTAGGTGACTCGGCTCGGCACCATGAACCATGTCGTTACTACTCAACTTGGCTACTATAATTTTTGTTCCCACATGTGACTGTCTCATCATTCTCGCGTGAGTATATTAAATGCCCCTCACTTGCCCCCAGAAAAATGTGTGTCAGACGTTTTTTCTTCTGGTAGTTGTTTCATGCTCCCAAGTTAATCATTGCATGCATCTTTGAGACATGCACTTTGTTCTGACAACATGTCTTACATTAAATATTTTTCCTTTGCGCTTCAGTCACTTCATTAGGTCCATGCTTTAAAAAGGGGTGCAAGGCTTCCTTTCTTCTTCACTTGTTCTTCTTCTTCTGACTTTTTTCTTTATTATTTGGGGTTTTACCTATCAGAAAATGGCTCATCTCACTTCTTCAGACATACCTGCTTTTAGAACCAAGTACCAAATTTCGATGATGTTCAAATTTTGTGTTGTCAGAACCGATAAGCCCCTGATTAGTACCAGAAGGACCATTCCCCATCCATACTCGAGCCATCACAGAAGGTGGTGTTCGCTTCCTTTTTCATCCTCTAATTTTATGGGTGTTTTCAGCACTAAAGTTGTGCCTCATCCAATGCTATTCTAACTTTTTTAGGATTGTAATAGGCATTGCTACCCTTAACAACTTTTGGATTTGGGCCTGAGTCTCTGGGAAATCCTTTTCTGCTATATCATGTTGCCATTTGGAGACAACTACTATCTTGTAGTGAGGAAGAATGACTGCTACTTGGTGATCAATCTCCCAAATTCCAATAAGAGGTCATGAAAATGACATCATCTTTGTCTCTAGCAATTGAGAATATGTTTCTAGTGAAATTCATTCCTATCGATGCCCTTACAAAGAAGGCGCACCAAGTGATTGACGATATGCCTCTTTATCTCTTCTTTTGTTTTTAAACCCTTCTCTTTACACTTGTCTTTCCTCTCTTGTAGGTGAAACTGTGAAGGGAAGAATCCCGAAGTGCTTCGTAAAAATGGAGGAGTTAAAGAAGGTATGGAGCTTCAATGAATCTCTCTTCTACCGAGCTGTTGATATACTCCAACCTATATGTCTTTTATTGCGGTTCCTCCCTACCCCAATGCTACTGTGGCCGACAATCATCAAGCCATTCAAACTACTCAAGATCAAACTCCTCGTTCTTGTAAGAAGGCTATAGTTGACCCTTTTAGAAGGAACAGGCCAGTGAGGAACTTTCTTGGTTTTCTTTCTTCTACAAGCATGATTAAACCGCCTTCTGCCCAAGTCCAAACCTTTACCGATCCTAAAGAACCTACTTTGGAAGAACCTACCAAGGCAGAGCTGGCCATACATTCTTAGGAGCTAGTGGATGACTCGGCCAAGGCTTCGGTAGATATAAACCTCGAGACTTCCTTCATCCAATCTAAACTCCCTTCTGTTTCTTTAGAGCCAACCCCTCCTCCAACTGACCAACCAAAAGCCATATTGGTCCTACTTGATGATCATGCCCAAAAAGTGCAAAGTGCCAGAACCTGATACTTTCCTTCCCCCTAGAGCCTATGATTTCCCCTTTTTTGCCCAATTCTGAAGGCAAAAGAAAGGGAAATCTTTGTTTGAGACTGTACTGATAAAGATTCAATGTGGCAGTAGGTATTAGCAGAGGCGTAATTCTTCCTCATGACTTGAACGTAAACGAGGGGTTTGTCCGATGATGAAATCACTTGGCAAGATATCCAGTAGATGGTTATGGTATCTTTACATCTCCCTTCATTTTTCCTTTGCAATATAGTTTTTTTTTAATATTTTTCATTTGCTTCTCCTTGTGGTCAGCAGGGACTTCAAAAGGTCCATAAGGTTGGGGAAAGAATTGCCAAGAAGGATAAGGCTATGAAGGAGGCAATTCATGAGCATATATCTACACTGACAAAGATGGAATCTACTAATAAGGAGTCTGCCAAGCTTTGTGAGGAAATGCTGGTTCTCCAAGCTCAAATACTAAGCTTGATTGATGAGAACAAAAACATGCAGTGGAGGTAGAGGATTTGAAAGCTTTAGAGAATGTGATCAACGTTGAGCTTTCCCAAACTCAGCTTGATTAGTCCACCCTCTTAGAAGAATTTGAGTGGTTCAAAGCTGAAGCCAAGGATCTGGAGGATATTGCCTTTGCGCAAGGGATGGTGAAGTCAAAAAATACTTGACTATGTAGATTCCCTCTCTAGAGAAGGCATATTTCTCTAAGAGTTGGCTTGTCGTTTTGACAGCTACAGTGTGTGCCCCCATCTTTTGAGCTATATTATTGTTATTCTACTACGAGCTCCTCCAAACCGCCACCTTCCTGAAAACAACTGTCATGAAAATAGAACTTCCTAAAAACAAATGTTTTGAAAATAAATATTTTTTTTTAAAAAATGTAAGTTTCTTCCTTTTTATATATATATATATATGGAATATCTTTTTAGCAAGTTTTTTTGCATTCTTATTTCTTTGTTTTGTTTTTAATAGTTTTGTCCAAAGTACTTAGACAGGGATCCCTTGATACTTAAATAGATTGCTAAGAAGTTATGACCCCTTACTCGGTCATTCTTCAAAGAATTAGTCCTTAGCACTTAGCTAGGGACCTTTTAGTACTTCGAAGAAAATTTTACTCTAAGTTATGGCCCTTGGTCGGCCCTTCTTTGAAGAGTTCGGTCCCAAGCACTTAGCTAGGGACCTTTCAATACTTAAAAAAAAAATTACTCTAGAAGTTATGGCCCTTCTTCGAAGAGTTTGGTCCCAAACACTTAGCTAGGGATCTTTTAATACTTAGAAAAAATTTTACTCTAAGAAGTTATGGCCCTTGGTCGGCCCTTCTTTGAAGAGTTCGGTCCCAAGAAATTAGCTAGAGACCTTTCAATGCTTAGAAAAAATTTTACTCTAACAAATTACGGCTCTTGGTCGCCCTTCTTCAAAGAGTTCGATCCTTGTAGCACCTAGCTTTTCATGCATTGAATTTTTGGTTGATCCCATAACGTGTCTAAGAACTAGGTCCACCGAGGACAAAAGCACGAGGGTTGACCTTCTTGTTGTAGGTCTGAGCCATCTGTTGCTAATAAGAAGTCATTCGAACTGTAGCTAACTCTCTATTTTCTTCAAGTAGGTCTAATTCCTGACCAATTGCATTGTCATTGTCCCCCTTAATGACTAGACCAGTTCAGAGTGTCAGCAACCCTTTTTCCAGCGGTATTACATCCTTCATTCCATAAGTGCCTGCAAATGGAGTTTTCCCCGTTGCACGTTGTGATGTGGTTCGATACATCCACAGAATACTGGGCAACTCTTCCACCAATTTGCCTTTTTGCATTCTCCAACCTTTTCTTAATCCCATATTGGATTGTTTTATTTGAGATTTTGGCCTTTCCATTACTCTGTGGGTAAGCTAGAGTGGAGTAGTGGTTCGAATCTCATATTGTTGACAAAAGGCTTTGAAGGGACCACTTTCGAATTGGGTTTCATTGTCGGATATGAGGGTGGTTGGTATACCAAACCTTGTAATAATGTTCTTCCATATGAACTTTCTTGTGTCCGTTGCTTGGATTATTTTGTTGTTCCTAATCTCCTATCATAAACCCTCAATGTGTGTATGACTTATATGGATAGATGAGTGTCATTCTCACTCGGGTTCGATGCAAGAAATAGGAAAACGAGTGTGTGGAATGAAATGAGTGTGTGTGAAACAAAAGTATTCCGTAAGTGTAGAGAGACCTTTGAGGGTCGTGTTTT